TTAAATCTAAATATATTTATATATTTATTAGAATAAAACTAGTTATATAAATTTGGAAATGAAAGATAATAATGATAAAATTAAATTAAAAAATAAGATAGAGTACATCAGTTAAAATAAAATAAAAATAATATAATATTAGATAACAAAGTATAAAAAATGGTAAAGTAAAATAAAATAAATAAAATAATAAATCAAATAACTTATTATGAAATAATAAATTAAAATAAATAAAAATTTTAAACGAATATATATTATTTCATTATATTATTTTTAGATAAAATATTAATAAATTATTTATTATAATAATATCAAATAATTTAATAGATTATTTATTATAACAATCTATTAATTTATTTGTATGTTATTGGCAATCTTGATTATTTTATTATTTTAATTTCTTTCAATAATGAAATTATTGTAAAATATATTTTCATTGCAGAGTATGTTAAATAAACTATAAATCCTTATAATGAAAATTATAAAAATCTTGATTATAGAAGGGATTGAGTTCTTGGCATTTGCTAAATCAAAATTGTTTAATTAGTATACAAAATTAAATTCTAGAAAAACATGTGTGTATATTTTGTAAAATATTTATACACTATTTAATTTTAAATTTACTTACATATTTTAAATTCATTACATAAATAAATAACACTAACGTGCATTAAATATTTTTCACTACACAAAATAAAAAGAAAATAAGACGTACAACTTCTATAACTTTTATAAAAAAATAATGACATTATATGACAACAAAGTTTATAATAAAATAATAATTAAATATTATATGGTGAACAAGAACACGTAATACTGTTATTTTCTCTTTTATCAAGAAATAAATATATAACTAAAATCAAATTTATACTAGTATAAATGTGTTAGTGGGATAATATATTAATTATTTTACAAGTTTAGCCCTAATATACTCATCTTTAATATGCTGGCTAAAAAACAACGCTGATTAAAAGGGGTGAAAAATAGATTATAATCCTATTTTTTTATATTTGAAGTTGATTAAAAGAGTTAGAAAATAGATGATAACCCTATTGCATTTTAAACATAAACAAACAGAACATGTGAAAATAACTCATTTAATATCATGTCTCGTGCATCGCACGGAGTATGTACTAGTTTAACTATAATGGCTATGTATAAGTTAATATTAATTAGTCAAGTATCTACATCTATATATATATATATAAAGGTTTGTATTTACTTGAAATAGAAACTAAAATCCCGCCTAAAAATTTTAAAATTACTAAATTTGGTAATTTTTTTAAAAAAATTTCAAAAAATCCCGCCAATAGAGCTTTAATTTCGAATTTCAAAAATATTTTTATTTTATTTTAGGGTAATTTTCATTTATTATGGAATAGATTTATCTATTGATTTCAATATAAATAAAGATTCGCCATTAATATATATAACAATCGCAACATTCCATATCTATTACAATTAATATGATTTAGTCGCAACAATCCATATATGAATTTACAAACAGATATTCTCATTAATTTTGATTCATAATTTTTATCCTCAAGTATTTTATTTTTTAATTATCCGCAATTTTTAGTTCCCGTTTCCCATTTGTAAAAGTGAGATGTTCTAGAAGAGTGATAATATAATCGAAAAATCGTAAGTGTTGCTTAATATAATTTTATTATCTATTTATATTTTCAATAAGATTGTTTTCTAAAAGAGAATCAAGTACTTATTGCAAACTAAAATTTTAAGAGATTTTTTTCAAGATTTTCACATGGATATAATTGAACGATCATATAAAACAAATTACTATCAATGAAGAATTCAATATACAATCTACAACAACAAATGAAACAAATGAGTTCGATTAGATATAAAATTTTTGGTTAAGTTTAATCTATATTAATTAGAATAATATATTTATTTTATTATATAATTAATAAATATATTTCAAATAAATATTTGTGCAATAAGTTGGAATGGAAAAACTTATTTCTGTTAATTGATTTTAACTTATTGTTTTAAACATGTCAATTAGAAAAAAGAAAAAAAAAACAAGCTAGAAATCTAGGATTACTATTTAATTATATTAAAATTTAAATATATATACATTCTAAATTTAACGAAAAATTATAAAACTATGAATTTTGATAGTACGAATTTATATGGATAAACTCGATATATAATGCATTAAATTAGTTGATATCCTATCACAATATTTACTTTTATTCATTAAAAAAAAATAATTTATTTAAATTTTAACAAATCAATATTTGAAACATTTAGCTCTGCCTGACGCACGATTTTACACATAGATAATGTAATATCGCCTTAAGGGCCATTCATATTGAAATTGTATTCTTTAAGTGTTTTAAAATATTAATAATGTAATTGATCGCGTTCTGGTTCTTATACTACATAACGTAAATAGAATGTCATGTTGCGTAAGTTATAAGAGTATAAAATTTAGTTTGATAGAAGTATCAAAAAATTTTCATTTAATAAAATTTGATGGTTAATTTAAAAATTATATTAATACATATTATACGACAACAAAATTTGGAATATAATAATAGTTGAGTATTATAGTGAATAAAAAGAGAGCGATGTTATTCTGGTATGAATTATCCGAATTTAAGTGGTATGAATTTGATTTGGTATGGATAAAAGTGTGTTTAAAAATTTTGAAAATAAAATTAGTGGTATGAATTTTATTTAGTATGAGTATGAAAGTCGAACTTTAGGTTGATTTCTTATCAAATCAATGTGATATAATTATCAAATTTTAGCATATTCACATATAACTTGCCATAAGATATTGATGATAAGTTGGAAAATTGGTATGTATTTATCTTGAAAATTAGAAAGATATTTGAACAAATATTTATTAGTAAAATTTAAAATTTATAATTTAATTCTAGAGAATTAGTTGATAAATTTGAACGACAAGGACAACGGACAACAAATCTAGAAAATTTCTAAATTAGTAAAATATAAATATATATAAAATATATAAGGAGATTTATTGTGTAGTCCAAATTTGGGTTCTAAATTTAAAATGAAAATAAATAATTATTCTGGTCAATATTAATTTGGACAAAAATAGAATAGCCAATTATCTATAGTTAAATAAATTTCGCCTTTTAGGTTCTTTGTGTGAATCCGACAAAAATTTCCACTGCTGCAAGCCATGAGAGCACAGCCTCGCGAAGAGATTTCCCTCTTTTCCTCTTTCTTTCTTCCTATCAACTACTTAAATCTTTTGGTTTTTGATAATATATAGAAAAATATTTTTTTTTTAATTAATGAAACAATATAAAATTAATATTTTACTTATTATTCATTTAGATTTTTAAATATATGATTAACTTTTACCAAAATAATTATTTTATGAAACCACATTGTATTCAAATTGAATTTATGAATATAATTTTAAAATGACACTTATGTTGAAATAAATAAAATGTAATTTATTATCAATTATGTGCACCGTACAGGTTGTGTACTAATTTTAAATGGACATATTTTATGTAATTTTGCACAATTTAAATTTGTATAACATATTAAATAAATTAATATGGGTAAATTATATTACACATTAATTCTATATTTTTAATTTATAAATATTATTTAATAAGTATTTTTAATTTATAAATATTAATGAATATATCTACCCATGCATCGCACAGGATTCGTACTAGTTTGAATGATTTAAATTGACATAATATTTAATTAACAATTTTTTGTATATATAATTTACTATATTTTTATTATGTCAACTACTTTATTATCCTTAGAATATCATAAAATTGCTAAAATGTCATTAAGAATCACCATATCACCCTGCTCACTCATCACTCGATCGGTACACCACAAAAATAAAAGTAAAAACCCGATCTCACCATCTCCCTTATAATCTCAGTCGAATATCCTAAATCTGATAGAACCAAACCCTAAAATTCAGCTTAATCATGCGGAAAGCCCAACAATCGCGGCACTAAATTCACCAATTGAGGAACAATTTTCATAGTGTCCTGTGAAACAACCAAAAGCCATATCAATTTCATGAGAGAATCCGAATTGACTGAGATGTCGTCCGCCACCTGCAGCTGGAAATCGGCGGCGAGGACGAGGATGGGTAGGGCAATTATGCGCGATCCAGAGATCTATTGCGGTCGATGGCGGCGGAGGGTGAGGTTGGGGGTGGTGCGGTCGGACGACCTGGTATGCGCCCCAAAAAATTCAATGTCCGGGCACCACAGGTTCGGGGCTGAGGGACGGCCCCAAAAAAGTTAATGTTCGGTCGTAGTTCATGCCGGTACAGATGCTCGTCAGAGACATCATCATGCCCATGTTGTTCGGGCACTACGGGTTCGGGGCCTTAATTTTCTTCCATATTGATCAACCCTTTTCTTTTCGGTTTTATGTTATAAAATTAGGTTAATTAAAGGTAATATGGTTGAATTTGGCCAATGTTATGCACTAAAACATTGGCGCCCAAAAGTTTTCATTTGGCGCTCACTACTTATTTCATTTTGGTATACTCTATCTATTTAAGGTAGATAACGACCGAATAATATTTTGATCGTATCTTCTGCTAATATCTCTCCTCTCCTTATCAGTCGTATAAGTCAAAGATTAGGCTAACAATTATCAAAGCTCTTTTACACCATTCTGTTATGACTCGTATAAGTCAAAGATTAGGCTAACAATTATCAAAGCTCTTTTACACCATTGTGTTCTGGAGGAAGAGCTCTTGTAATATCCCGTTTCTTTATGTTTTACATAATTTTTTACCCATAGTTCAATAGGACTGACGATGCTCAGTAGATTTTTTTGTTATACCTTATTTTAGTGTTGAATAATTAATTACCTGGCTTATGTTATTCATTCATTCTAATGGATTTTTTTTATTTTGCCTAAGACAGACTGTTGGAAATGGCTCTTGGATTAGTTTGGAATTAAAAATAAAAATCATACCAAATAATTCTCGGCAGAATCTCAAAGATCACATGACCAAGGAAGGAGCTTTAGCACCCTGGACATCCAATAGGAGTAAAAGCAGGCAATCCGAGAAAACAAATACTCCATCAGATGAAGTGAACGAGGGATCGACAAAAACTAAACCTAAAGATGGTTTGTCTAATGGAAGCCAAACGGAGAATCACACGTTCGAGGTCAACATGCCAAATCAGTCTCCTCAAACTCAACGACACGAGGGAACTCTGCAAAATCAGAGCACTCAGCAAACTGAAAGCAGTCTTGATCCTCCATCACATCAGGGAAATCAGCATCCGCAATCACCCCAGGCAAATGATACCATTGGTACGTTTAGCTACTCTGATAGCTTAGCTAATTTGGGTTGTATGGTTTAAAAATATTTACATTAATATATTAATATGTTTATAGTTTGTATAACTGTCCTCTTAGTTGTTTCTATTTTTTGCTTTCTCTGATTGATTTGTTTTTTTGTTTTTTGTTTTGTGTTTTTTGTCTCTGGATGTGGTTTGGTTTCTGGATGTTTGTTTAGCTGATTTGACTTAGTGTTCTAGATAGGTTCAGTTTTTGCAGTTTTATCATCTGCACCTTTTAGTTCAGTTTGATCAGTTGTTGCCCGTAGCTTAGTGTTGTAGTGGTTTAGCTATTGTTGCTTAGTTTTGATCAGCTGCTCTGGCTTAGTGTTCTAGTTAGTTTGTTCCCAGGTTCTGAATTTTTTTATATTATAGGTTTCAATTTATTAGTTGTTTTTAGTTTTTTTTTTTTAATTTATCTACTTGGTTTGTTTTTTGTTCTTTGGTTGATGGTTTAGCTGCTGTGGATATTTAGAGACGCGTGCTATTAATGTGATTAATTGAACTTATATGTAAATAATTTTATACAATTAGATTGAGGAGCTATGAGTGAGCAGACTATATGCAGTTGGTATAGATTACAAGTTTTCCAAAAGTATTCTAGACACCTGCAATTTTTTACCACAAAGAAGAGCTAGAGATATATTATTTTTTTATAAGAATGTGTAATAACATGTTGAAATTAGAATCTGAAAATTATCAAATGGCGTGTGACTGCCATAATTGCTATATAACATTATTGTCTCTAAATAATCCTCATTGTTGAAAATAAAGCATATGCATTTTATTGAAGATTCGATGATTATTATGTTTCTTGAAAGTGTTGTAAGCCTCCATTAATCTTCGAATGCATACTTTTAATGCATCCAGATGCTTTAGCACATAATGTGTTGGACCAACATCTCACCATGTTATACTTTCTTCTACACTAATCAAGTAACTCACAATTCTTTTTCTCAATATTGGTTTGCTTGCCTTCCGTGTTGTTTTCCATACTTTCCAACTAATTTAGGTGTAGATAAGCGTTAATATGGAGATATAAGTATAATGTTTGTACAAAAGTTTGATAAATATATACATTAATATGTTTGTACAGTTAATATGTTTGCCATTTTGTTCAGTTAATGTGTAGATAAGCTTACTATGATAAGAATCTACATTAATATGTTTACCATATTGTTCAGTGATACTTCTAGAGTCACAAGTAAAGCTGCGTGAAAAGGAATCTGAAGTGATTGAGCTTAAGGAGCAAGTTGGTGATTTGAAAGACCATCTAAGTGGAACAACGTGCAAACATCGACAAACTTATGGGTTTCATATCTGCGATTGGAAACAAAACCTGAGATTGTTAGGCTTTGTTGTTGTTGTTGTTGTTATTATTATTATTATTATTATTATTATTCTTATTATTCTGATTTGGAATATTTTGAGATTGTTAGTTTATTCATTTATACTTTTAATTAGCAAAGTTACTATTATTGTCGTTTTTTTAATTTATCATCTAGAAAATATTACCATCATATATTAATTATAAAGATTTTGTCATTGTATTTTCTTTTTAATGACATAATTGTTTAGAGTGATGAAATTTTGTCACTGTATTATATATTTCATGACAAATAAATTTATCACTAAATATTTGCAATTAATGACAATTATTATATTTGTAATAGTCACAAATTTTAAATTGTCATTGGAAATAATCTTTTTTTGACAACATGTAATTGTGATGTATTTGTTTGGATTTGTCACCATATAAAATGTTAATATGACAATATATTTTGTCACTAAATATTTACTTTTTCATGACAATTTATGTTGTCATTATATCTCAAACTTTTGATCACAACCCTTTTTTTCGTAATCATAGAGCTAACAATTTTATGACAAAAGAATTCGTCGCGTTTGTATGGTTTTTGAGACAATGACTATTTCGTCAGTACTTCTATTTTTTTGTGACACTTTTGTTATCGTCATATTTAAATTTTTCTTTCTGTGACAACAAATATTTTGTAATTATAAAACAACTATTTTATGACGAATTCTATGAAATATGACGATAATTATAACGAAAACGTCATAATGATATTCGTCATTGAAATTTTATAAATTCAATAAAAAAAATAAAATTCGTCACTAAACAATAATATTTAGAAGACGAATGTAAGTTTTCGTCATTTAAAACTTGTCTTTTTATGACAAAATAATCATTCATATGACAAAATTCTCATATTAAACGTGACGAAATTATTGTCACGAAAAGTGACCAAATAACATGACGAAACTTAAAAACGTCATTAAAAGTGAAACGTTTGGTGACAAATTCGAAATTTGTCACCTATACCTAATATGACGCGGCTACGGTGACGATCGCTGTGAAAATTACCCTAAAATAAATCTATTGACGATCGCTGTCAATAGATAAATCTATTCCATAATAAATGAAAATTACCCTAAAATAAAATAAAAATATTTTTGAAATTCGAAATTAAAGCTCTATTGGCGGGATTTTTTGAATTTTTTTTTAAAAAATTACCAAGTTTAGTAATTTTAAAATTTTTAGGCGGGATTTTAGTTTCTATTTCAAGTAAATACAAACCTTTATATATATATATATATATATATATATATATATATAGATGTAGATACTTGACTAATTAATATTAACTTATACATATCCATTATAGTTAAACTAGTACATACTCCGTGCGATGCACGAGACATAGATATTAAATGAGTTATTTTCACATGCTCTGTTTGTTTATGTCTAAAATGCAATAGGGTTATCATCTATTTTCCAACTCTTTTAATCAACTTCAAATATAAAAAAATAGGATTATATCTATTTTCACCCCTTTTAATCAGCGTTGTTTTTTAGCGAGCATATTAAAGATGAACATATTAGGGCTAACTTGTAAAATAATTAATATATTATCCCCCTAACACATTTATACTAGTATAAATTTGATTTTAGTTATATATTTATTTCTTGATAAAAGAGAAAATAACAGTATTACGTGTTCTTGTTCACCATATAACATTTAATTATTATTTTATTATAAACTTTGTTGTCATATAATGTCATTATTTTTTCATAAAAGTTATAAAAGTTGTACGTCTTATTTTCTTTTTATTTTGTGTAGTGAAAAATATTTAATGCACGTTAGTGTTATTTATTTATGTAGCGAATTTAAAATATGTTAGTAAATTTAAAAATAAATAGTGTATAAATATTTTACAAAATATACACACATGTTTTTCTAGAATTTAATTTTGTATACTAATTAAACAAATTTGATTTAGCAAATGCCAAGAACTCAATCCCTTCTATAATCAAGATTTTTATAATTTTCATTATAAGAATTTATAGTTTATTTAACATACTCTGCAATGAAAATATATTTTACAATAATTCCATTATTGAAAGAAATTAAAATAATAAAATAATCAAGATTGCCAATAATATACAAATAAATTAATAGATTGTTATAATAAATAATCTATTAAATTATTTGATATTATTATAATAATTAATTTATTAATATTTTATCTAAAAATAATATAATGAAATAATATTTTTTACTTTATTATATTCGTTTAAAATTTTTATTTATTTTAATTTATTATTTCATAATAAGTTATTTGATTTATTATTTTATTTATTTTATTTTACTTTACCATTTTTTATACTTTGTTATCTAATATTATATTATTTTTATTTTATTTTAACTGATGTACTCTATCTTATTTTTTAATTTAATTTTATCATTATTATCTTTCATTTGCAAATTTATATAACTAGTTTTATTTTAATAATAATAAATATATAAATATATTTATATTTAATTTAATCTTAATGCACACTATTGTAATAAATTTTATCTTACGTTATTATAATTTATTTTTTTCATTTAATATATAATTTATTTTAGTGTATTTTAATTATTATAAGTTTAAATCTTATTAATATAATTTAACATAATCTGCATTATTTTCAAAATTTGATTTTATTTATTCATATTTATTGCCTATATATATTAAACGATATTAAATTTAGAATACAACTTGGATTGGTGTGATGGTTACAATGTCAATATGCAACCTTGGGGGGTCACAAGTTCGAACCCCAACGTTTAATTTTTTATCGCCATATTAGCAGCCATGTCAGCACTAAAAACACAGCGATTCATTTTCTGTCACAGTTACTATATGTATTGATGTGACGAATTTAGATGTATTATAGTATATCGTCACAAAAAAAAAGTTATATAACGACGAGTTATGCGTAACTGTCATTTTAAATAAACTAAAAACACAACGAATTTGATTCGTCACAGTGAATTTCATCATAATATGTATTAATGTGACGAATTTAGATGAACTATAAAGTACCGTCACAAAAAAAGAATTATATAATGACGAAATTTTTGTAAGCATCACTTTAAATAAATAAAAAATAACGATATTTATTTTGTCGCACTGAATTTCGTCATAATTTGTATTAATATGACGAATTTAAATATATTATAATGTATCATCACAATAAATAATTATATAATGACAAATTAGTCGTTAGCGTCATTTTAAATAACAACAATTGTGATGCCATTTTGTTTGTCACATTAAATTTCGTCACGTGTTATATACATGTGACGAATTTAGATGTATAGGTGACGAATTGATGTGCATTGTCATGAAAAATACCATTATGTGACAAAAAATAAATTCTAAGATGACGAATGTAGTAGTCGTTGTCGTATGCAATGATGTAATGACGATTTCTTAAATTCGTCACCATAAGGCAACAGACGGTGACGATTTTTTTTTTTTTTTTGTCATATGAATTTCGTCACTTTTTGGCAGATTTCTTGTAGTGTCAGTGATCGCTCGCCTGTGCCGTGCCCCGAGCACGTTGCTCTCGCACAACCGCCCCGGTAGTCGCTCGCCTGCGCCTCGCGTGATCCTGCATAGTCCACTACAAGAAATTTAAGAAAATATGACGATAAAATTCGTCATGTAAAGCTTATTTTTGTCACAAAAGTAAATTAATGACGAAATTTTATCGTCATTGTTGACGCATCATAATAGGTCTAAGTGACAAATTTTGAACTTGTCACCAAATGTTTCACTTTTAATGACCTTTATAAGTATCGTAATGTTATTTGGTCATCTTTCATGACGATAATATCGTCACGTTTATTATGAGAATTTTGTCATGTAAATGATTATTTTGTCATAAAAAGACAAGTTTTAAATGACGAAAAGTTGACGTTGTCATTTAAATATTAATTTTGGTTGACGAAATCTATGATTTTATTGAATTTATAAAATTTCAATGACGAATATCTTTGTAGCGTTTCTGTTATAAAAATCGTCATATTTCATATAATTTGTCATGAAATAGTTATTTTACAATTACAAAATATTGGTCGTCACAGAAAAAAAATTAAATATGACAATAACAAAAACGTCACA